CATCATAGATAAATTGTCGGCGCGCATCCATCAGGCTCGGTTGGCATTTGTCAACTGGAGACCTCTGTTGCACCGTCGCTACATCCGGTTTTCTGTTAGGGGTCGGGCATATGTTGCAGCACTTGGGCCAGTTCTGCTTTACGGTGCAGAGACTTGGTCATTTGGAAAACAGAACAAAGATATACTGTCGGTGTTTGAACATTGCTGTCTACGTAGCATTGCACAAGTTTGGTGAGGAAACCAGAAAAGCAATGCTAAAATTTGGCGCAGAGTTTTAGGTAATCGAGGTCGTCCACTTGGAGTAATTAGTGGACCTTCATAGAGTGCGCTAGTTGGGATATGTGCTACGCATGTCACCAGATGGGTGTCCGCGGCGAGCGGTCGGAAAAAAATGAAGGGCGGTCAAGCTAAGACCTGGTATGAGGGTATGAAAACCCTGACCCGGCGACTGGCTCACATAGGTCCCGTTAGGCTCCCTGGCTGTGGACCCCGTTATCATAGTCACCGATGGTGAGAGACACTGAGCGACATGGCTGGGTGTCGCAAACAGTGGCACTATGCATCTACTCATTATTCTTGTAATTTCAATCTATATAAATTCGTTGTGTTTCATTTGAATTGGCTTTCAGCATTCTATTCTTCATTCTGCTGTTTTATGTAAATGTGTATTAGAAACCAGCACTCGAAAGTGCATGGTAAATGGTTGTAAGAACTGAACCGAACTTTATTATTTGTGCAATGGCATTATTCGGGTTATTCCACTATTCTTCATTTGAAACTGTTGCTGGTAAGCTAACCCTAAACATTATCGTAGTTCAATTCTGTCCATAAATTCCCAAATATTTTCTCAGCTGCCCGGTCGATATTTTCTTTAGTTCCAGTTGTCTGACATTTGGATATCCCAGTCTGACTGTGACTATTGTTCGACACACTTTTACCTGGTCACGTGATTTGTTATATGGCAGTGCTTTCAGCTGCATGAATCGACGAAAGCGGAAATTTTCTCATTCATAATGTGATTTACAGTCTTAAAGTACTTAATCTTTTAACATCCATTCAAGGTTAAAGTTTCGTTCGGTCTTGATAAGATTACATTCAAGAGTATCACTTTTATCTGTTGTTTGAAATAGGTCTTTTAACGCTGACTATAGGAATAATTTTTCACGCATAATATACTTGTTTTTTTAAACTAACCTTTCCATGGTAAACCAATAAATTTATTTATTTACTTTTCAATTGAGTTTTACCTGTCATAGTATTAGGACCTACGGAAGCATCTCGCACCTTACTTCATGCTTTTTTCAATTCTATTCTATTCGAAAATGAGACTCAATGTTAATTACTTATCGTTATGCATTCTTGAGCATTACAAATCACTTATGTATCCTGGTTTTGACGCTTGAAGTCTGACTTTTCCGGTTGTCGTGCAGAAAACAATGAACATAAACCGAGAATTGTCAAACGGATATTTTCCTTTGTTAATTTTGCTCCACTTTTTATTCATAAATTTACATACAAAAAGCCTCAAAGTTCATCAGAACTGCATGCATTGGAGCAAATGTTGTCCCGGGCTGATTTGAGTCTTCGCTCAGCAAATGCACACCAACAAACCACGTTGATGCTGGCCGCTATACATGGTCGTATCAGTCTGGTTCATCGTTTGATCACTATGCACAAAGCACCAGTCAACCAGCAAGATGCCGAGGGTAGTACGGCTTTAATGGCCGCTGCCGAACACAATCGATCCAATGTGGTACGGTTGCTGCTTTCGCAACCAAACGTTGATGCAAATCTACGGGACAATGCAAGTGACTTGGTGTCTGTAGTTTACAGACACGAATTTTGTTATTGACACGTATCTCAGGTTATTTTAACTAGTGTATAACCGTTGCTACTAAATCCAAAATGATGAAATCTTAGTTTGAGGGAATAACGTATTTAGTTGACGGACAACAAAAAATAGGAATAAACTCTCCCGAACAAAGAAGAAGCACCGGAGACCCTAGTTTGTTTTAGATGTGTATTATCAACAACATTTCAAAGCGCTAATTTTATTCACGCTCTAGTTCGTTTGTTCATGTGATTTGTATATCTTACTTAAAGTCCGTTTCAGGTAAAGTACAGTCATTGACAGGCTGTCAGAGCAAAATGAAGCAATCCGGCTGCTATCGGTGCGGTGGAACTCGGACACTCCACTTAAGGGCTGATATGAGAGTGACTCAATAACTAAAATTCCACAGTTCACGCGATCCGCTTAGCCACCCCACTAGCATCGTGATTAAAAGAATTAGGACATCGTTCCGAACCAATTAGTTCGTAAGCATCTCAGACAGGTACTAATTAGTCGCGTTCGTCTTTCAGGCGTGTAAATTAATTTCAGGATCCAGAACTGGTGTTTTCATATGCCCTTTCCCCAGTTAATGTAAACAGCAGTTCAGCGAAGCATGTAAATATATCCAAATTATTCCCACTTTATTCGTTATTTAGCAAATTAAATAAGTTCCCACGGGTACTGTGTACTTCACTGGCATCGCTCTCTTCCGTTTTCAGGATGGGTGCACTGCTTTAGATATCGCATTGTCCAGGCAACATCATGAAATCGCTCTAATGATTTATGCCAAGGCCAAAATTCAAAAACTAAAACGTGAACGCTCCGTAAGTAGTTCATAACATCTTAATGTTTTCGTTTCTTCACGTGTATGCCCATTGGTTATTTCGTTTCTGGTGTGGTAATGGCGTTAATGACTGGCTCATGATGTCCATCATACTCCATTTTGCTTTTATTAAATTCGACGTTTGAAAGTATCTACGGAATGTCGATATTCTAGCGGTTTGTACCGGTTGTTCTTTACGCAATTAAGTATGGAATTCGTAATGTCCAACACGTTAACTCTGTGCAATGGATATACCTGAATAGAGTGCTTTCTTTATTCACGGTCATTGAAAATGCAATTAATGCTCTACACACGATCTTTTTGAATTCATTATTCTCACCTATATGTCCCTTTGGCAAATTACTGCACCCTTTGTTTTTCTAGTATATTCACAGCTTTATGCACCATCATTATTTTTTTGTGAAAATCAGCAACTGCATGAGAAACCTAGTCATGACAGTTCATCAATTGATCTTTCATTTGTAACGAAGTCATGTACAACATCACGACCTTACCTTCCACAAACTTATTGCACTCCCTCAGGTTCTTCATCCAAACCTATACAGTGCGAAGTGCTTTAACCGTTCCGTTTAAGAACTTCCACATTTTCACATATCTCATATTTCTGTCGATGTTATTCCATCCTCTAGCAGGATCTGTGTGTTAGTAAACCCTTGGAGTGAGAAGGACCTAAATGATTTCTATTGGGTTCACCTCTGGGATGCATGCTCGCCACATCATCGGTTTGATACCATGATCGTGTAACTACGGTTTCGTTGACTACTAATTGTAAAATGCCTCATTATCTTCCTGGAAAATCACTTCCGCATCGCCAGTTCTCGTCACTATCTTTAACGTACGAGCATACAATTGTGAATATTGTCTCCCGCTTTGTATGGCAAGGCCACTCTCACCGTTCTTCGAAAAGGCTCCCAAAACCGTCACAGAATCTCTGTCGTTCATCGTTTGCTTAATTATTTTTCTTCCCCTTATCATAAGTGCAGGTGAAGACTCATCTAAGTAGAACTTCATTCATCTCTAGAATAAACGTTAGCGTTCTTCAAGTTATGCAGGTGTGCACCTTCTCTTCTGCGTAACACATACCAGCTGGTGCCTGTCTTTATCCGGAAGCTTTTTCTTCCCTCCGACTCTTTACATAATTCTGTTGTTATCGTCTTACTTACTGTGTTACGGTAGGCTTTGGTCCGTTGTATAATCTAGCTCACAAGTTCTGCGTTTCACCTCAAAAATTAATCGGATCTTGAGCTCTCGAAATCAATAGGTCTCTCCTACGTCACAGTGATCGATAATAGCTTCATTCGACCTCTTCGCACCCACTTCATTGTCGCTGTTAGTTCAATGATCACAGTTTTTGTCATCATGGTATTACAGGATCCTAGGTTGGATCGGTTTGTCAAAGGACGATTCCATACACGATCCGGTTGCTATGTGAAAGTTACGGTGATAGCTTGTCAGTGTACCCGTTTTGTGGTCCCCCTTGTGTGAACACCCGAAGAGGGCTCATCCCCTCCAGGTGAACACACTCCCTGTTCCGAATTATTTTGCCAGACGAGCACCATTTCAAGTGCGTAAGACTACCCCGTCGTTTATATCTACATTCGGACGAACCTCAACCCTTATTCCCGTAATAAAGACACCTTATAGACCCCTCTCCGTTGTGGTCATACAAAAGTGATGCATTCGAGCAAGCCTTTGTAAATATTTCCGGTGGATTGTGCCATGGTAACCCTAACGCTGTAGACCAAAACACGAACAAATGTTGACAACGTTTCACCCTTTTGGAAGGACATTCTCAAGGCAACTGACTTGACACTTATTTTTGTGAAAAATGATGGCACAACTAAAACGAGTGTGAACCAGAAAATTCAAATCATCAAGATTCTTACATTCGCGCATTATTTATTTTGATGATGTCACCAATGCTGTGTACGAATGCTTTTTTTCCTGCTCGTTGAAACAGGAGTGTTTTTGAAAGAAAAAGCAATTGAGATGCTTTGTCAAATGGAAAGAGTACTTTCCATGTGAGCCCTAGCTGGTTGCGTGAATATGTCAAGACTAGTTTGCGGGAAGGCACAGAATTTTCAAGTTTAGGGCTGGAGAACTATACCTTTTTTCAGTTTAAGATATACGAAATCCAATTTAAGATGTCGCAATATGAATTTAAGATGTCCGAGTATCAATTGAAAATGTCATGTTGCTATGTTTTCACTCTGTACTGTGCAAGGTACTATTCACATAGCAACATGACATCTTAAATTGGTACTCGGACATCTTAAACTGAAAAAGGTATAGACCAGAACGCGTTCTCACACGGTGCCTAAATTACAACTTTAAAGATGGTTTTGACTGTTATAAGATTGGTCTTGATTGGTAAAAGTAATCTATGCAACGGTATACGAAAACGTTGCAGGATAATTATTTTCCTTTTTGCATTGTGTGCTTTATTCTGAGCTTCCCTTCGAAAGCAAACTTTGCAGAGCAAACGAATTTGCCCGTTCTCGACGATTTTCATTTTAAAGGAGAACATTGATCTACTAATCGTATTATAGAGACCGACAAATGAAATAAATTGTTTTTCATTGGTTTATCAATTGATCCAGATAATTATATCAAGGCTGTTTGTAGTGTCCGATATGTTTAGGTTGTGCAAAACTGTTCTTTATCTGTTTACTTGCTCCTGTGAAGCGAGCTACACGACTACGAGGTGGCTATCGAGACGATACGTCCTCGCTGACTGAGTAACGGTGACTCAAGTCCTGGGACCAGTGCATTCTGCCAGCACTTTGAGGGCCTATCACCCAGTGAATGTCTATCCGGCTTTCCGCATCCTACAAGGACAGCGACTGATATATACCATGGATTTTGGGACTTGTGAGACCAAGGGGAGTCACCGTGCCGCCTAATCTGCCCCTGTCTCAAAAGACGGCTCAGTGCAGAATGACGATCCTACTGACACCCATGAGGCGCAAACGGCTCGTGGATATGGCAACTTCGATGAGGTCCATATTCTGGGGCAACTTGGTTTGCGAAAGGCAGAGACAAGTTTGACTGAATCGTCTACAGAGCACTGTAATAATTTTGTAGAGGCAAAAATAGTGATTCTTCACGTATATTCGTCAAAATGAATGATATTCCGATTTAGGTTTCTTATCCAATTAGTCATATCCTCAAGACTGGTGATCATAGTGCATTACGTACTAACCAACTGCAAGCAGGCTGGATGGATTGCACAATATGTTAACACCGGTCAATGTTCACTATACTCGTAGTTATAAGTAACGTGAAATTCTAGATTTCCTTTTTACTCCCAAGACTTTCTTTACTGTGAGGTTCCTTGCTGTTTGGAACCGCTTCGGGATAACATTTCGATGTATCGTTTCGGAACACTGGGTCCACTTTATCCCTCATAGTAAGACCGAAAGAAGGCAAATGTAGTGGGATGATAACATTTCGTTTAATCTTCGCAGTCGCTGATTTAAAACAAAGAAGCACATTTAGCGTATTGGGTTTGAAAATCCTTGTGAACGAACATATGCAGATAGACAGGGGCCATTATAATTAATTTCTTCCCCTAAAAAGGTTTCAACAACGTACGACGCGAACCTCCAGATAAACGGACGCGAGTAAATATACAGATAGATAGCATTGAACATGACGTTTTTAATGAGTCCTTTTTCTAAACATAGTTTAAGCAGAAGCAATTTACACTCAAAAAGAGGATTAATCCATAAATGAGTGTAAATCATTAAAAGTTTTGTCAAACGGTCAATAAACGCCCTAATTAACCACTTCCAAACTGGTTAATTTTTGTTTCGTAAATTGACCATTTCATTTGCAATCGGTCACTGTTAGCGGTTTCGGTTTCGTTGACTTGTATTTATCTCTTCCTTGATTTCGATGTTTTTGTTCTTCCATGTTTGTACATATTTCTTAACTTTAATCATCCGTATGGTTCTTTTAAAATTTAAATGTTTTCATGGGACATCGTTGCTATTCTGTTCTTAGCTGAAACATTCTAGTGCTTTACCTCGGTGAGTTTAAAAGAGAAGCATCTTGCATTTCCTTGTCCAGAACTCCGCAGTGTTTGCTATTTACTTTTTCGTTCTTATTAAATTTAAACATTGCTGACATAATACTCAGTTGTTTTTGATTGTTTATGCTCCGAATGAAAACTAAT